AATTAGGAATACCCAAAGGCAGAAGGAGATAATCTATTATCCCTTCTAGAAAGAAGGCCCAAGATCACTTGCCCCTGGGATTGTTTCCCTCTTAGTCTGTCTACGAGTTACTCAATTATCCTCTCAATAAATCCCCCTTTTCTTAAAGTTAGCTAGAATTGGTTTCTGTTGCTTTGAACCAATGGTTCTCAACAAGAACCTGCCTCTTAATGAATATTTTGCAATGTCTGGAGATATTTTTGGTTGACACAACTGAGGGTGGGTAATTTTGGCATCTAGAGTGTAGATACCAGAGATGCTGGTAACATCTATAATGCACAGGACAATCCCCACGACAAAATGTATTTGACTCAAAGTGTCAATAGTGCTACTGTTGAGAAACCCTGCTTTATTTTTTTTTTTAAGATTGTATTTATTGATTTGACAGAGAGAGACACAGCAAGAGAGCAGCGGGAGTGGGACAGGCGGAAGCAGGCTTCCCGCTGAGCAGGGAGCCCGATGCAGGGCTCGATCCCAGCAATATAGAACTACAGTGGTAGAGACAAGGAAAAGGAATATTTTGGGTTTATCCAGGGCTGGGTTTTTTTTTCAGGTAAGAGCAATACGAGGATATAAAGATAAGGGAGTTGATGTTTATATGGGACTTATTTTACTGATGAACAAGAGAAATTAAGCTAGATAATGAGGAAAGAAATAACAAGAGAGAAGTGATAGGGGCGCCTGGGTGGCTCAGTGGGTTAAGCAGCTGCCTTCGGCTCAGGTCATGATCCTGGGGTCCTGGGATCGAGCCCCACATCCGGCTCCCTGCTCAGCAGAGAGCCTGCTTCTCCCTCTCCTTCTGCCTGCCACTCTGCCTTCTTGTGCTCTCTCTTTCTATGTCAAATAAATAGAATCTTTTAAAAAAAGAAGAGAGAGAAGTGATAATAAAAAATGATGGGAAAGAAAAATTAAGAAAACAATCCCATTTACAATTGCATCAAAAATAATAAAATACCTAGAAAATAAATTTAAACAAGGAGGTGAAACACCTATACACTGAAAACTATAAGACATGGATGAAAGAAATTTAAGAAGACACAAATAAATTAAAAGATATTCCATGCTCATGGATTGGAAGAACAAATATTGTTAAAATGTCCATACTACCCACAGCAATCTACAGATTCAATGCAAATTCAAGTGGCATTTTTAAAACAGAAATTGAAGAAAATAATCCTAAAATTTATATGTAACCATAAAAGACCCAAAATAGCCAAGGCAATCTTGAGAAAGAATTACAAAGCCAGAGGCGTCACGCTTCCTGATTTCAAACTATATTACAAAACTGCGGTAACCAGAACAATATGGTATTAACATAAAAACAGACATAATGGCTCAATGGAACAGAACACCCAGAAATAAACCCATGCATATATGGTCAATAATTAATTTATGAAGAATGCACAATGGGAAAGGACAGATTCTGCAATAAATGCTGTTGGGAAAACTGGACAGCAACATGCAGAAGAAAAACTGGACCACTATCTTACACAAGAAACAAAGATCAATACAAAATAGATTAAACACATGAATGTAAACCTGACACCATAAAACTCTTAGAAGAACTTCCACGTGGGTGGTAAGCTCCTTAACATCAGTCTTGGTGATGACTTTTTTGGAATTCACACCAAAAGCAAAGGCAGGAAACACAAAAATAGGGGTGCTTCAGTGGCTGGGTCAGTTAAGCGTCTGCTTTCAGTTCAGGTCATGATCGCAGGGTCCTGGGATCGAGCCCTGCATCAGGCTCCCTGCTGAGCAGGGAGCCTGCTTCTCCCTCTCCCTCTGCTGCTCCCTCCTGTTTGTGCTCTCTGTGCTTTTAAATAAATAAATAAATAATCTTAAAAAGAGAAAAAGAAACACAAAAATAAACAAATGAGACTGCATCAAACTAAAAAGTTTCTGCAGAGCAAAGGAAACTCTTCAACAAAATGAAAAGGCAATCGATTGAATGGGAGACAGTATTTGCAAATCATATATTTGGTAAGGGGTTAATAACCAAGTACATAAAGAACGCATATAACTCAATAGCAAAAAATAGGGGCACCTGCTGGCTCAGTCGGTAGAGCATGCAGCTCTTGATCTCAGGCTCATGACTTCAAGCCCGATTTTGGGCACAGAGATTACCTTAAAAAATCCAATTTTAAAATGGGCAGAAGATCTGAATAGACATTTTCCATTAAATTTATTTTCTAGGTATTTTATTATTTTTTGATGCAATTGTAAATGGGATTGTTTTCTTAATTTTTCTTTCCCATGGTCAAGAGACACATGAAAAGATGCTCAATATCACTAGTCATCAGAGAAATGCAAATCAAAACCACAATGAGGGGCGCCTGGGTGGCTCAGTCGTTAAGCGTCTGCCTTCAGCTCAGCTCATGGTCCCAGGTTCCTGGGATCGAGCCCCACATTGGGCTCCCTGCTCTGCCAGAAGCCTGCTTCTCCCTCTCCCACTCCCCCTGCTTGTGTTCCCTCTCTCGCTGTGTCTCTCTCTGTCAAATAAATAAATAAATAATCTTAAAAAAAAAAACCCAAAACACAATGAGATATCACCTCATCGATACACCTAGATAGAATAGCTATTATCAAAAAGACAAGAAATAACAAATAACAAGTGTTGGAGAGGATGTGGAGAAGAGGGAACCCTTGTACACTGTTGGTAGGCATGTAAATTGGTGCATCCACCATAGGAAATAATATGGAGGTTCCTTAAAAGATTAAAAATAGAACTACCATTTGATCTAGCAATTCCACTACTGGTATTTATCCCAAGGAAATGAAAATACTAACTTGTAAAGCTACCTGCATCTCCATGTTCATTGCAGGATTATTTACAATAGCCAAGACATGGAAACAACCTAAGTATCCACTGATGGATGCATGGATAAAGAAGTTGTGGTATCTATATACAATGGAATATTATTTAGCCATAAAAATAAGAAAATCCTGCCATTTGCAACAGCGTGGATGGACCTTGAGGGCGAGATGCAAAATGAAATAAGTCAGACAGAGAAAGACAAATACCATATGATCTCACTTATATGTGGAATCTAAAAAAAAAACAAAAACAGGGGCACCTGGGTGGCTTAGTCGGTTAAGTGTTCAGCTCAGGTCATGATCCCAGAGTCTTGGGATAGAGCCTTGCATCGGGCTCCCTGCTCAGTGGGGAGTGTGCCTCTCCCTCTCCCCACCCGCTCCCCCCCACTCATGCTCCCTCTCTTTGTCACTCTCTCTCAAATAAATAAATAAAATATTAAAAAAAAATAAAAAACAAACTCATAGAAGAGATTGGTGGTTGCCAGATCCAGGAGGTGGCGAGTGGGTGAAATAGGTGAAGGTGGTCAAAAGGTACAAACTTCCAGTTGTCAAATAAATAAATCCTGGGGACGTAAAGGATAGCTTGGTGACCATAGTTAATAAATCTTGTATAGCATTTTTGAAAGTTGCTAAGAGAGTAAATATTCTTTTAAGTGTTTACTCATTTATTTTAGAGAGAGAGCAAGTGAGCACGGGGGCCCAGTGGAGAGCTGGGGGGAAAGGTAGAGGGACAGGCAGAGAATCTCAAACAGACTTCCCACTGAATGCAGAGCTCCATCCTACCACCCTAATCAGAATGACCTGAGATCAGGTCCTGAGTGAAAATCAAGAGTAGGATGCTTAACTGACTGAGCCAACCAGTTGCCCCACTAAGAGAATAAATCCTAAAAAGTCTCATCATAAGAAAAAAATTTGTTTATTTATTTATTTATTTTTTATTCTTATGTTAATCCCCATACATTACATCATTAGTTTTAGATGAAGTGTTCCATGATTCATTGTTTGTGCATAACACCCAGTGCTCCATGCAGAACGTGCCCTCTTTAATACCCATCACCAGGCTAACCCATCCTCCCACCCCCCTCCCCTCTAGAACCCTCAGTTTGTTTTTCAGAGTCCATCGTCTCTCATGGTTCATCTACCCCTCCGATTTCCCCCACTTCATTCTTCCCCTCCCGCTACCTTCTTCTTCTTCTTCTTCTTTTTTTTTTTTTAACATATATTGCATTATTTGTTTCAGAGGTACAGATCTGAGATTCAACAGTCTTGCACAATTCACAGTGCTTACCAGAGCACATACCCTCCCCAGTGTCTATCACCCAGTCACCCCATCCTTCCCACCCCACCCCCCACTCCAGCAACCCTGTTTGTTTCCTGCAATTAAGAATTCCTCATATCAGTGAGATCATATGATACATGTCTTTCTCTGTTTGACAAGAAAAAAATGTATAATTATGTGTGATGATGGATGTTAACTAGACTTATTGTAGTGATCATTTCACAATATATACATATTGAATATATAATTTTGAAACATTATGTTGTACACCAAAACTAATATAATGTTATTTGTTAATTATACTTCAATAAAGAAAAAAAAAACTCCGATGAAATCAAGTTGATCTAGAGATAACTCGTATCCTGTAGAGCTTCTTAAAAATGCAGAATCTCAGGCCTCATTGTAGATCTACTGAATCAGAATCTGCATTTTAACAAAATCCTCACATGATTTGTATGCACATTAAGGTCTGGGAAGAGGATTTAATAAAGGTGAAAATTTTTGCACGGGGGATGCTGAAAAGACGCTTCTGGCAGAATTTTTTAAATCAGAGGTTAGCAAAAAAAATTTTTTTTTTCTGTAAAGAGCTAGGTAGTAAATATTTTTAGCTTTGAGGGCCAAACAGTCTGTTACAACCACTCAACCCCACCATTATAGTACAACAGCAACCAGGGACAGTACATAAACAAGTGAGTGTGACTGTTGAGTATGGCTTTGTTTCCAAAAAACTATTTGCAAAAACAGGCAGTTGGTTGATTTGGTCCAAGGGCCATAGTTTTCTGACCCCTGATCTAAACCTTAGTAAAATGAGTAAGTCTTGGCTCCCATGTAGAGTGTACTGTTGAGTTTTCTTGTTCTGATTACTTACTGTCTCTTGTCAGTAAATACTCCTCTGCCTCCCTCTCTCTTCTTCTGAAGATAATGAAGAACTTGGCCAGTTGATGCTCTCTGGGATCCTAGAAGAAGTGAGAAGGGGGAGAACTAAAGTGTTAGGAAGCCAGAATCTCCTTGACATCATTTTTTTTCTGTCCAAAGTACCAAGAGATGTACTATAGGGCAGGCTTTACATCAGCTGTTTCTTTAGAGTTGTTTCCCTTTTATTTTCTCCTGGCTTCCAGTAAACTCATTTTGAGCTTCTCCTCTGAGCCAAGGGAAATCAAGAAAAGATATTTTATCCTTGCATAGACCACGTTGAGCAATAGCCCCTTGATGGCAGTGGCAGTGGTAATCAGAGAGGGATTCAAAGGTAACAGGCTGGAGGTTGGGGGTACTGGAGGGGAAGAGAAATAGTATCTATTGAGCATCTCCTCTCTAACACTTTATATACATCATTTGAATCCTTACAGTAAGTCCAGTATTATGACCCCAGGATACAGATGGAGAAACTGAAATCATTATTTTATCAAACGTTAATATAGCAATTACTGTATGCCAGGCACTGCTCTGCTTTACAAATATAAACTCATTTAACCCTCAGAACTCTATGAGGGGGAACCATTATTACCTCCATGTTAGAAATGGGGAAACCATGCTATGGAGACTGGTTAAGTAATTTCCAGAGGAAATTCAGTTAATAAAGGTAGAGCTGGGTTTTTAATCCAGACAGGATAGGATCCTGTTCTGACTCCAAAACCTTGTTTTTTCCCTTGTACAATGTAATAATAGTATGTTCTCCAGTTCTCCTCCCCATCAGATTTTCCATCAGTGCTAAACTCCCCAAGTTTGGGGTTACCTATTAAGTAACATTTCCTTATTAGTCCCTCAGATCATAGCATGTTTCCAGGGCTCATTATCAACATCTCTATTTTTCCCTACCACAAAACAATCTTTATTAGTATAAGAGATGCTGTTGCCTGCTTTATATGAACATGACATTCTGAAATATTTTCCTCAGCAATTTCTCCTAATTCTGGATCTTGCTGTTTAATCTTTGTTTGCCCTGTCTTCCTTGTCTTCTCTTTTTTGTTCATGCCAGAATATTGTTGAGAATAATGCTGACATCTCAGTCACCACACTAGTGTACATTATCTTTTTCCTCTTGTTATTGGACTAATCCAATTTTCTTATTTTCCATTATTCATCTCCATTGGATTACTATAAATAATCTAGATACATTATTACCAGATCTTTCAGGGTGTCCCCTTAAAGGGTCTATCCCAAATCTTAGTGCCTGGATCAGGCACTATGTGTTTGGCCCCCTGGTAGATAATGGGTAATAAAAATGTGGAAGATGGGGATGCCTGTGTGGCTCAGTTGGTTAAGCATCTGCCTTTGGCTCAGGTCATGACTTCAGGTCTTGGGATCAAATCCCGCATTCTGCATCTGGCTCCTTGCTCAGCGGGGAGCCTGTTTCTCCCTCTGCCTGCCACTCCCCCTGCTTGTGCTCTCTCTCTCTGACAAATAAATAAATAAAATCTTAAAAAAAATGTGGAAGATGTATTTACAGTTTAGTGTTTTCCAGTGTTGGGATGTGGTATTGTCTCCTGATCTGACACTAATATTGATTATTAATGTTACATAGCCAATATACAATAATATTTCCCATGTTCTTCAAATTGAAATTCAGTGCTCCTACATCACCTCTTGAATATTCTTACTCTAGTGCTTTTGCTCTTCAATCTATCCATCGGAACAGAACATGATTATTTTCCTTACATTTGCCTCTGCCATTAAATCTTCATTAGAGGCAGAATCACAACATTCTAAGACTTTGATGATGATAAGGGAGATGGTTTAAGATTTTGACTTAAAGAAAATGGACAAGTGTTTCTAACTGAATCTTAAAAAGGTTTGAGGCATTGTTAAGTATGTCGATGAGAAGTGTGTAGGAGCAAAGTTTACTGGTCTTGAAGTCCAAAGACTTGAATTATAGTCCTAGTTCAGCCACTAAGGTAAGAATGGCTAACATTTATTGAGCACTTAGTATGTGCCAGTCACTTTTCTACTAATTGTTATGCTGTAAGGAGGAGGGTACAATTATCATCCCCATTTTACAGACAAGGAAACCGAGGCACAAAGCGCTTAAGTACTTGGAGTTGGTATGGTAAACTGAATCCGGTTTTGCAACGTAGGCAGTCTGGCTCCAAACTGGTGCAGTTAGTTACTACCCGCCTTTATTTCCTGGTAAATAGAAGCAACCATGATTAACATACATGCAGCAGGTTCTGTACTGGTTTTCTGCAATGTTTTACTCATCTAATCTACTCATTAACCCTCAGAACTCTATGAGGGGGAACCATTATTACCTCCATGTTAGAAATGGGGAAACCATGCTATGGGTGGTTAGATACATTCTGAGATAGATACCATTTTTTGCAAGCTAGAAACTCTGAGATAGATACCATTTTTTGCAAGCTAGAAAACTTGTTTTGGGCGGTACTATTACTTGGCAGACATGCTTTGGAATCAGCTTCGAGGGTCCAAAAGCTTCTCTAACCCTCGAACCACGTATATTTTTGAGCCTGTTTTCCCACCTTTAAAGTGAGGGGGAGTGGAGTAATGCCTCAGTTCTAGGAGCGGAGGCCGTGGAGAAAAGAGATAATGTGCGCAGAAGGGTGTGAGAGATGGGAGAAAGGGTAGTAAAAAGCAATCAAGCTCGGCGGCTGAGGGCCCTGCATGCACCACCACGGCTGGTGAGGATGCGGATACCAGAAAAGATTCCCGCTGGGAGGAGGCCGGGGGTGTTCCCCCGAGCGAGGCCTATAGGCGAAAATGGGCCTGGCAGCCCATCTCTGACCGGTCGGGGCGCTGCCGGCGCAGGCCAGCGGCCAAGGGGGAGGCGATCCCTGGGGCTTTGTCCCGATCCCGGGACAGCACCTCACCCGCCCAAATTCCTGCTTCGCAGGCTTCTCCATGAAAGCTAGAGAGGGAAGGGGCGCGGCTTCCCCGCCCGCGTCGCAGAGCGCCACGTCCCTCTTGGCTTCGGCTCCCCCAGGCTCCTTCGAGTTCCTGTTCCACACCGCCCGCCTCTCAGCCAGCGGGCGCGGCCTCGTCTCCACCCCCGCCAATCGGCAACTTCCGCGATCCTAATCGGGCCAATCAGGGGCTGTCGGAGGGGCGGGGGCTGTCGCCAAGGCAGCGAAGAGGCGGGAGCGCGCGGTCAACAGAGGTCCAGAGCAAAAACGCGGGCGGGGGGCTGGAGAGACAGGTTTATGTACTGCGTGCATTCAGCAGGCGGAGCCTCGAGCGCCGAGACCCGGCTTGGTAAGGCCGGGGGCCCGAGGTGGGTGCGGATCAGCGCGGCGGGAGGCTGGAGCGGGTCCTGAGATAGGGCTCAGGGCTTCGCCTGCCCTACCCTGCAGTGAGAATGGCGGGGAAAACCGCACAGTGGGCGGGCACCGGTGGAGGGGCGCTTCCAGTTGCAACCCGAGGCGTGGGGTCCCTTTTTCCACTCCACTCGTAGCAGGGCACTCAAGCTTTCTTTGGGGTAGCTGAAGGTGGTAGGCTCTTGGCCGGGAGCAGGCGTGGGTGAGTGCAGGACCGAGACCCCGACAGGGTCCAGCCTCGCCTTGGCAGGTCGATGGGCGAAGGAGGTGCCCACTGAGAAGGGGGGTGTACCCACGTTCCCTGCTGATGCACATCACCCCCGGAGCGGTCAAGCAAAACTAGGCCGGCGAATCCTGCTCTTCTGCCGGTCTGTTAACCCCGCAACCCTTGACACTTAGAGAAAGTTCGTGTCAGCTGTGGTATTGTTTTCCCTTAAGTGAGAAATAATTGCTGTGAGATGAGCTCTTTCTGTTTCGGAGATAGTACTTTCTTGTTGCACTTCCTAAATGGTAACTCCGCGAACAAATGTAGTTTTTGTTGTGGTCGGTGCTGGCAGTTGGTCTTGGGTGGCAATTATTTTACAATATCCAGATTTTTTTTTTAAAGATTTTATTTATTTATTTGTCAGAGAGAGAGAGCACAAGCAGGGGGAGCGGCAGGCAGAGGGAGAGAAAGAAGCAGGTTCCCGCTGAGCAGAGAGCCGGACATGGGGCTCGATCCTAGGACCCTGGGATCATGACCTGAACCGTCGGCAGTCGCTTAACGAACTGAGCCACCCAGGCGTCCCATAATATCCAGATATTTTATAATATCGAGACAGAGACAGGAACAGGGAGAGAGGGAAAGGAGGAGGGAGAAAATATGAACATGACCCTTGAACCATTATTCTGATTTTTGGGAGACAGAACCTCTTGAGATTCTCAGAGTGTCCACTAAACTCCTAAATTGGATAATATACATTTACACAATTGAATACGTAAGTGCTCCCATCTAAGCCTTTTATTAATGCTCTTAAATCCATGGATGAATATGAACATCAAACCACTTACTATTCTCTTGGCTAAAAAAGGGGGAAGGAGGTTAAATGCAAATATTTCTGATAGTCAATTCTGTCTGAAGGAGATTCTGGACTTTCTCTAAAGAATCGGAAAAAAAAATGCTGAGACAGTTGCTTTAAGGAATTTATTAAAAGTAGAATGGTTAATAGAGGAACTGATGCAAATATTTCTGATAGTTTGAAGGAGATTCTGGACTTGCCCTGTAAGAATTGAAAGAATTGAGGAAACATTTGCTTTAAGGAATTAGTTAAAAGTTGAATGACTATAGGTATAATAGATTTGGATCCTATAACCTATAGATTCTTTTATGATTTATTTAAATTTTTGTTTCTTAGGGCCTTCCCTGGTGAATTCTGTTGAATAGTTAGGCAATATCTACATTTTTGCATCTTGTCCCTCATAGATATTATCTCAGGATTCATCTTGATTGAAGTTGAATGCAAGTTCTTGTTTCATAAAACTTGATCAGCAAGTTCAATAAATGCTGAACAAATGTCTCAACAAATGTTCCTCAGTTAATAGGGCCCAAAATTTAAAAAAAAAAAAAAAAAAGGAAATTTAGAATGAGAAATCTCAAATACTATTACTCTTGTGATTGGAGTGAACATGGAAACACCTGTTTCTCATCTTGTTCTCTAAACTCTCCATGATCTGGTCTAACTTGCTAGTGAAAAATTCATTTCCGCCTCCTTGTGGTTACTAGTGCTGTTCTCTTCCAACAATCTTAATATACCCATCTTGCATGGCCTAAGTCCCTGCTCTGTTCACCTTAATCTGCCCATCGGTACTTACTGTTCAACTTTTGCCAAGTTGGTTTGTGCCCTGTAAATACCAGTTAAAACGAAATGCACAATGAAAACAATGAGGGTACCTTTCAGAACACTAGTTATTAATCATGGTTGCTAATATAGACTATCAGCATAATCAATACCAGTGTCTGTTTGGGGATATGTTGTATATCTCTATAGATATATCTAATTAATTTTGTTATTTAGAATAATATTTAAGTTGCTTTCTACTTTCTAAGGGTCCTTTTGATGAATGAGGAAAATACCCTTTTAAGTATTGGGTAGCTGGAGGAATCAAATATAGGATTTTAACATGCATTGAAAGTAATCCCTGAAGTGGATAATCTTTTAAGTATCATGAGTAATTGAGTTGACTGTATTTGGTATGATAGATGATTAACTCTTTCTAAATATCTGAAGGTCTAATACTCCGGTTTCTCTTCAAAACGCATAAATCTTTCACCTTTTACTAAATATCTGAAGGTCTAGAAGGGGGGACATTTGTTATTTTTATGTTGGATATGTGCAATTAGCTTATAGACTTTAAAAAACAGACTCCTAACAATTTCAAATAATTTATTTAAGGAAAAAAATCTCAATCACTTATTGATTTTCAATCCAAAGTTAAAAAAAAACATGAAATGGTGAAAATTATTCCTGATTAGAATTTGATGGCCAGATTCCAATCCTGGCTCTGTCAAATAGTTTTGGCGAGGTCAGTTAGCTTCCTTATGCTTTATAACCTTTTGTAAAAGTTGGGTTTGAACCAAACCACCTCTGAGATCATTTCTGGTCCCAGAATTCTGTTTTAAAAATTTTAAAGCAACCTAGTGGAAATTGAGATAGCAGTTGTATGCTTTTATTTTTGGCAGAGCTTTTTAAAAAAATTTTTTTAATTATTATATTTTTAAATTTGGCAGAGCTTTTTGGCATATTGTATTTTAGTTCTCCAAAGTACAGTATATATGAATAATGGAGACATTGTAATTTTAAATTTTTTAAAAAAGATTTTATTTATTTATTTGACAGAGAGAGCAAGAGAGCACAACCAGGGGAGCAGGAGAGGGAGAAACAGGCTCCCCGCTGAGCAGGGAACCTGATGCAGGGCTCGATCCCAGGACCCCGTGATCATGACCTGAGCCAAAGGCAGACGCTTAACCACCTGAGCCACCCAGGCGCCCGAGACATTGTAATTTTAATACATTTGTTTATTGAGTGACACAGATGAGAAACAGTATCTGCTTTCATTAAGTAAGTCTATTATCAAGGATACTGTAACCAATTAAGATTGAAAAAAGAAAGGCAATATGATGGTGTCCTTGGTTGGTGTCCTTTTCTACAGATAAGAGCATCAAAGACATTAATATCTATACTAATGTCTTGATACAGCTGAGCTGGTCATACATCTGATGCTTTATTTTGAATCTCACTTTCCTTTGGACTCTCATTTAAAAAAATATTTTTTTTTAATTAAGTAATCTCTATGCCCTAAGTGGGGCTCGAACTCACAACCCCGAGATAAAGAGTTGCATGCTCCACTGACTGAGCCAGCCAGGCACTTGAATAGCTATACTAATGTCTTCATTCATGGAAGGGTTGGAGTCCAGCTAAGTTGGTCATACATCTGATACTTTACTTTGAATCTTGCTTTCCTGTGGACTCTCATTTTTAAGGGGAAAAATGGAGTTGAGTAGCTTTCCTGTGGACTCTCATTTTTAAGGGGAAAAATGGAGTTGAGTACTAGGGTACTGTCCCTCATCACTGCTGCCATTGAGAAACTCAGAAGCCATTTATTTTTCTCCACCCTGCTCCTTTTCACAGAATTATGACATTGACAGGAAGAAGAACCAACCCAGGTTTCCTGGCCAAGGGCAGTGCCTTGGAGAAAGAAACCTGGGACTCTTGTTTTAATCCCGGGGAGGAAGAGATTGTATTCCTCTTTTGTTGGATGTATTCTTGTCATTGGCCTACAGCTGCATCAGGACTTTGGCTGTGGCAATGCTCAGAGGAGAGTTCTAATGCAGCCTTGCCAAAAATGACATTTAAAGGTTGTATGCCAAACTGGTATATTGCTCTTTAGGTTTTATAACTTTGTGTGTTTACAGAACAGATTTTTATTACTTTTTATAGCTATTTCATTTTCAAGACACAGAAGGCATTAATATTTACTGAGCATTTATGATTGCCATGCTTTGTGCTAATTACCATGTATTCATTCTTATTTCAGCCAATCAAAAACTTACGAATAAGTTCAGTTTATAGGCAGTTTATAGGCAGAAAATTTGAGAATCAGAGAGGCAAATAGCTTGCCAGTAATTGGGAGTGATAAGGATTCAATCTGTTGTTTATTTTTGACCATGCTGTGTTAATAAAGGTCATATGCCTTTTTTTACATATAACGTGCATGATCACTCTCCTACTTAGATGATTTTATGTTAATATACCATAAAAAGAAAGAAATATATGTCTTCTTAAAATCTGAAGATATTTTATTTGCTTATTTTCTTTATAGACTGCTTAGAAATAATTCCTTTTGTTCACCAGTGAGTTTGCACATGAGCCAACTACCTATTTGACAGGTAGTTGGGTTTCAAAAAAGAAAATTTGAGCTATTTTGCTTCATTACTGATCTCTGTGACTGAGACTGGGCCAAGGTTAATTTTTTAAAGTGGTGGTGAGAGTAAAGAAAGATTCTAGTTAAGGATTTTAAGAAAAATTTCAGTTAAGGCTCTAAGGAGAAAACTTAACCTATATCTTGAAGTCTCATTGTTGAGGAAAATAAGCTTTTAGTCTGAATTCTTCTTATTTACAAGGGGAGTGATATGGTAAAGCCTTGGCATCTTAAACCCAAATCTTTGTTTATTGTGGTCTTTGATTCTGTTTATTTAATATTTCTCTCTCCCCTCTCCACTGGATTTTGATGTAATTTAGTCTCCTTCCACATTGTAAAAATTTGGTACTTTTTCTATTTATAGGATGTGACAAATATATATACCATCATATGCCATTACCACTGTAATAAGGCTAAATTTATGTTTATATTTAATCTGTTTTTATTTCTTTTTTTTTTACATTTAGAACTTGTTGAGTCAGTTTTTAGTGAAAAAGCATTGACCTAGGAGCCAAGACCCACCTCTTCACTAATTTGATATTGTGCAAGTCATCTTACCTCTCTGGATCTCAGTTGCCTGATCTGTAAAAAGGAGATAAAAATTCTTTACTTATCTGAAGGTAAGTGATCAGTTAAGACAGCAAAAAATAAAAACAGATTTAATGATGGCTTAAACACACAATATTTATTTTCTCATGTAAATTTTTTTTTAAAGATTCTATTTATTTATTTGAGAATGAGAGAGAGAGAGAAAGAAAGAGAGAGCACAAGCAGGGTGAGGGGCAGAGGGAGAAGCAGACTCCCCACTGAGCAGGGAGCCCAATGCAGGGCTCGATCCTGGGATCCCAGGATCATGACCTGAGCTGAAGGCAGATGCTTAACTGACTGAGCCACCCAGGTGGCCCTCATGTAAAATAATTCTTGAAGTAGGTTCTCTAGGATAGGTATAGTAGTTTCATAAAGTTATCAGGGACCTAAGCTTTTCCCAGTTCTTTGATCTGCCATTCCTAAGGTGTGGCACTGGTCCTTGTAGTCCAGGATAGCTGCCAGAGTTCTAATCATCACAACCCAGTTCCAGGCAGCAAGGCAAAGACAAAGAGGGATCCTCTTCCTTTAAGGAGACTTCCCAAACCAAAGCTCAGGTTACCAGGGAAGCAGGGAAATGTAGCTGGATACATAGCTACCCTGAATAAAATTGGGCTTTTGTTACTGAGAAGGAAGGGACGATTTGGATATTGGCAGGAAATCGGAGTCTCTGCCATACTATGGATCGTTTTTTTCTCTTTCATCTCTGAGATCTATAAGCTACGATAACCACTTGCAGAAGCTTCTGTAATTGCCACAGAAGAGCTTTGTCTGATCATTGTCTTCAAAATGAGTAACTTTAATCTAATAAATTATGTTTCTTTTTTTTTTTACTTTTAGCCTGTGATTCATTATAGAAGCTTTCCTGTCTTATTGAGTATTTGTTCTGGTTATTACTATTATTTTTATTATTGAAATATAACTGACAATGTTATTAGTTGCAGGTATACAACATAGCGATTCATCAGTTTTATATATTACCCAGTGCTCACTCCAATAAGTGTACTTACCATCTCTCACCATACAAAGTTATTACACTATTACTGACTATATTCCCTGTGCTGCACTTTCATCCCCATGATTATTTATTTTGTAACTAGAAGTTTGTATCTCTTAATTCCTTTCACCTATTTTACCCATCCTTCTACTTCCCTTCCACTTGGCAGCCACCAGTTTGTTCTCTGGATTTATGAATCTGTTTTTGTTTGTTCATTCATTTTGTTTTTTATTATTTATTTATTTTTTTGTTTTTAAAGATTTCATTTTATTATTTATTATTTTTTATTATTATTATTTTTAAAGATTTTATTTATTTATTTGACAGAGAGAGAGAGACTGAGAGAGGGAACACAACAAGCAGGGGGAGTGGGAGAGGGAGAAGCAGGCTTCCCACTGAGCAGGGAGCCCGATGTGGGGCTCGATCCCAGGACCCTGGGATCATGACCTGAGCCGAAGACAGACGCTTAACGACTGAGCCCCCAGGCGCCCCTCATTTTATTATTTATTTGAGATAGAGAGCAAGAGTGAGAGAGAGGGAGAGAGAGAGAGACAGAGAGCACGAGCAGGGGGAGGGGCAGAGGGAGAGGGAGAAGCAGACTCTCCACTGAGCAGGGAGCCTGATGTGGGGCTTGATCCCAGGACCCTGGGATCATGACCTGAGCCAAAGGCAGATGCTTAACTGACTGAGCCACCCAGGTGCCCCCATTTTGTTTTTTCGATTCCACATATAAGTGAAATCATATGGGATATGACTTTCTTCATCTGATTTATTTCACTTAGCATAATACCCTCTAGGTATATCCATGTTGTTGCAAACGACAAGATTTTGTTCTTTTTTATGGCTGAGTAACATTCCAGGATATATACCACATTTTCTTTATCTGTTCATCTATCAATGGACACTGAGGTTGCTTCCATGTCTTCACTGTTGTAAATAATGCTGCAGTAAACAGGGGTGCATATAGTTTTTTCAAATTAGTGTTTTCATTTTCTTTGAATAAATACCCAGCAGTGGAATTACTAGATCATGTGGTATTTCATTTTTAATTTTTTGAGGAACCTTCATGCTGTTTTTCTAGTGATTGTACCAATTTACATTCCCACCAACAGTGCATAAGAGATCCCTTTTCTCTACATTTTGGTTTACACTTGTTATTTCTTATTGCTACTAGCTATTCTGATTGGTGTGAGGTGATACCTCAATGTGGTTTTGATTTGTATTTCCCTGATGATGAATGATGTTGAGCATCTTTTCAGGTGTCTCTTGGACATCTGTCTGTCTTCTTTGGAAAAATGTCTGTTCAGGTCCTGTGCTCTTTTTTGAATCTGATTTGTTTTTTTGCTATCAAGTTGTATGAGTTCTTTATATATTTTGGATATTAACTCCTTATTGGATATATCATTTGCAAATATCTTCTCCCGTTCAGTAGATTACCTTTTTATTTTGTTGATGGATTCCTTTACTGTGCAAAAGCTTTTTAATTTGATGTAGTCCAAATAGTTTATTTTTGCTTTTGTTTCCCTTGCCAAAGGAGACATATCTAGAAAAATATTTCTAAGGCTGATGTCAAAGAGAAGAGTGCCTGCTTTTTTTTTTCCTAGGAATTTTTATGGTTTTAGGTCTCACATATAGATCTTTAATCCATTTTGAATTTATCTTTGTGTATGGTATAAGAAAATGGTCTAGTTTCATTCATTTGCTTATAGCTGTCCAGTTTTACCAAAACCATTTATTGAAGAGACTGTCTTTCCCCATTGTATATTCTTGTCTCCTTTGTCACAGATTAGTGTTTTTTTTTTTTTTTTAAGAGGGAGAGAGAGTGTGTGCAAGTTGGGGTTAGGGGGAGAGGGAGAGACCCTATTTTTTTTTAATATTTATTTTTATATTTGAGAGAGAGAGAGAGAACACATGCATACAAGCAGGGGAGGAGAAGAGGGAGAGGGAGAGAGAGAGAGAGAGATCTCAAGCAGACTTCCCGCTAAGTGGGGAACCCGATGCAGGGCTTGATGCAGGTCTTGATCTTACAACCCTGAGATCATGCCCTGAGCCTAAACTGAGAGTTGGCTGCTCAACCAACTGAGCCACACAGGCACCCCAGGGAGAGAGAGAATCTTAAGCAGGCTTCACGCTCAGCACAAGCCTGACCTGAGGCTCAGTCTCACAACACTGAGATCATGACCTGAGCCAAATGAAGAGTTAGACACTTAACTGACTGAGCCACCCAGGCATCCCTGTTGTAGATTAATTGACTGTATAAGCATGGGTTTATTTCTGGGCTCTGTATCCTTTTTTTTTCTTTTCTTTAAATATTTATTTATTTGAGAGAGAGAGGCAGCATGAGCAGTGGGAAGGGGCAGAGGGAGAGGGAGAAACAGACTCCCTGCTGAGCAGGGAGCCTGATGAGGGGCTTGAACCCAGGACCCTGAGATCATTACTTAAGCTGAAGGCAGATGCTTAATGGACTGAGCCACCCAGGCACCCCTGGGCTCTCTATTCTGTTCTGCTGATCTATGTGTCTATTTTTGTGCCAATACCATACTGTTTTGATTACTGTAACTTTGTATTATAGCATAAAAATCTGGGATTGTGATACTTGCAGCTTTGTTCTTCTTTCTCAAGATGGCTTTGGCAGGTGCCTGGGTTGCTCAGTTGGTTAAGCCTCTGCCTCTTGATTTCAGCTCAGGTCATGATCTCAGGGTCCTGGGATTAGCCCTGCGTGGGGCTCTGTGCTCAGCGTGGAGTCTGCTTGGGATTCTCCCTCTCCGTCTGCCCCTCGTCCTGCTTGTGCTCTTTCTCTATCTCTTTGTGAAATTAAAAAAAAAAAAAAAGATTGCTTTGACTATTCAAGGTCTTTTGTGGGTTTATACAAATTTTAGGATTATGTTCCAGTTTTGTGTAAAGTACTATTGCTATTTTGATAGGGATTGCATTGAATATAGATTGCTTTGGGTAGTATGGACATTTTAACTATATTAATTCTTCTAATCCATAAGCATGGTATATCTTTCCATTCATGTTATCTTCAATTTCTTTCATCAATGTCTTCTTACAGTTTTCAGAGTTCAATTCTTTTATCTCCTTAGTTAAATTTATTTCTAGGTCTTTTATTCTTTTTAATGCAACTGTAAATGTTTATTATTAAATTTCTCTTTCTGCTACTTTATTCTTTGTGTATAGGAGCAACAGATTCCTGTATATTAATTTTGTATCCTGCAGCTTTACTGAATTCATTAATTAGTTCTAACTTTTTTTTGGTGGAGTCTTTAGGGTTTTCTACATATAATGCCATGTTACCTGCAAATAGTTACAGTTTTACTTCTTCCTTGCCAATTTGGATGCCTTTTTTTTTTCATTTTCTGTCTGATTGCTTAGAACTTCCACTACTATGTTGACTAAAAGTAGCAAGAGTGAACATACTTTGTCTTGTTCCTGATCTTAGAGGAGAAGCTTTCAGTTTTTCGCCATTGAGTATGATGTTAGCTGAGGGTTTGTTATATCTGTTCTTTATTATATTGAGGTATGTTCCCCCTAAACCCATTTGGTTGAGAATTTTTATCATGAATGGATGTTGAATTTTGTCAAATGCTTTTTTTTGCATCTGTTGAGATGGTCGTATGGTTTTTATCTTTCATTTTTTTAACATGGTGTGTCATGTTGGTTGATTTGCAGATATTAAACCATCTTTGCATCCCTGGAATAAACCCCACTTGGTAGTGGTGAATGATCCTTTTAATGTATGGTTGAATTTGATTTGCTAATATTTTGTTGAGGATTTTTGCATCTGTGTTCATTAGGGATATTGGTCTGTAGTTTTCTTTTTTTGGGGTGTCTTTGTCTGGCTTTGATACCAGGGTAATGCTGGTCTAATAGAATGAATTTCAAAGTTTTCCTTCCTCTTCTATTTTTTTTTTACTTTTTTTTTTTTTTTTTAAGATTTTATTTATTTATTTGCCAGAGAGAGTGAGAGAGAGAGAGCGCACAAGCAGGGGGAATGGCAGGCAGAAGGAAAAGCAGGCTTCTTGCTGAGCAAGGAGC